TGGAAGAGAAGAATAATTTTTTGTTGTTTTTTTTAGGATAATGTTGTCTTGTCAATTTTTTCAGTCAGTATAGCAGGTATTCAAAATGCATGCTGCTCATTACAGTATTATTACTGAATTAATGAATGAACAATTGTCTTATCTATTGTTATCTGTTTTTCGCTCTACACTTGTTGTCCTGCTTTCTGCATTCATACTGTATGGATAAGGAAGATGAACTAACTCAGCACTCACAATTGCACTTGCACTTCCATGCTTTTTGGGGACATTTTGCATTTCCTTGAGACTGATCCTAACCTTAATCATAGACTTGCCTAACCTAAATCTAACTTAGATATTTTTAACCCATATTTGAACTTTAAAAGGCCCATATTGCTTTGTTTTCTGATCTATGTTATAATGTTGTTTCATCATCACAATACCCAGACTTCTGTTTTGTTTCATTCACACATGTTTAACTCACAAACACTGCATATTTAGATTGAGTCTGTCTCTCAAACAGAAAAAAAAATCACATGTCACGTGATAATACAGGAAGTGCTCCACTGTGTTTTTAAGATACAGACACCTTCTAGGGGTGTAACGATATCCAAGTCTCATGATACGATATCATCACGGTATGAACCTCACGGTACAATATTTCCCATATCCCATATTGTGGGAATGCTCACGATATGGTGGGAAGGCTCACGATTAGGGATGTAACAATATCCAAATCTCTCTGTATGATATTTTCACGATATGCATTTCACAGTACGATATTTTTTGTGATATTTTGTGGAGGCTAACAAAACTGTTAATATGCTACTTTTCCATCTTAAAATGTCTTGACAAGACTTAATCCAAAGAACTAAGACTTAAAGTAAAGAATTCAAGAAGTCAAGAATTTCTTCTTATAGTCTACACTGAAATGAAGCAAAGGATCATGGTCTATATAGTTCTCTCTGTCTTTGAGTTAATGCTGTACCATAACTCTTAATTTAAGCAAAGAGATTTGTAATGTGATGGTCCGCGATATTATTGTGAGAACTACGATATGATATCACGATATTTCGGTTATTGTTACATCCCTAACACCTTCACTAGAAACATTTGGATGATTTCAGCCTTGGAATTGCTAATCTCTATCACTTTATGACATCACGAGGTGGATGTAGACAGACTAATAATAAAGGATTACTCAAACATACGTAAATGAACTTCAGGTATGTTTTTGATAAGGTAACAACATTCTTAAGTGACTCAAAGTGTAAAATGTGAATACTACAGGACCTTTACACCATGTTGCTGATGTAATATTAAGGGATGTGTGTCATGGGGACCTTATTTATATATAAGGTAGACAAAGCCCCATGAATTGAGTGTGATTTTAGTCCCCAAATGTAAAAAAAAAAAAAAATCACAGAATAACTCAGATACACAGATACACACTTCACCCGCCTTCCCTACACTTACATGTACCTACCACCCATTCACCAACATACAGTACTTTTTAGCACGCACTAAAATGTCCTTTCCTCTTTTGTAAACAAAGTAGATGCATAAACACACACTGGCCTTCTAGAAGCTACACACACACACACACACACACACACCCCTCCCCTTTAGACTGCAGTCAACACACAAATGCAAACACACAAACTTGCACTACACACACAGCATATGCACCAGCTACCAAGCCTTCTTTTTCTGTTTCCAAGCCACTCTCTCTCTCTCTCACACACACACACACACACACACACGCACACACACACACACACACACACACACACACGCACACACACACACACACACACACTCCCCCTCCTTCTCTGTCTGCTGCTCCTGCCTCTGAGCTGACACACACTTGTGCACAGACCCACACAAACACACGCACACACACACACACAGACAGGCACACAAACAAAAACACACGTACGTACGTACGCACACACCCACACACTTGTGCATAGACATATACACACACAGACGCACACATACACACACAAGTTGTTATTCCATGCTTTACGGGGACATTGCATTGACTCACATTCATTTCCTGCAAACCGATCTTTATCTTAACCCTAGTTACTACACAACTAACCTATTTTAACGCATATATGAACTTTTAACTGATGCGTTTACTCTGATTCTCTTTATTACAAATCTAGGTCCCCATGAATTGAGTGTGTGTACAGATTTTCGTCCCCATGTTGTGTAAATATCCGCCCACACATGCACGTGATAGCAATCCATGCTTTTTGGGGAAACATCGACGTAGATTCATTTTGCCACGGTCGCTTCTTGCCTAACCTTAAACTAAACCCTACCCCTAACCTTTGTAAACATTTGTAACCCATATCTGAACTTTAAACCAACTTGTAGCTCTAATAATAAAGGATTCACGTCATGGCGACCTTATTTTAGTCCCCATAAAGGCTTCAGGTCCCCATGATGTGAGTGTGTATGCGGATTTGAGTCCCTCCGTTGATAGAAATACACACCGACACACACACACATACACACACAAACACACTGCTGCTGTCACATCCCCTCCCCTCTCTCACAACACACACGTCCTCCTGCACGCAACAGCTCTTTGCTCTGCTCAGCTCTCTCTTTCTCTCACACACACGCACACAAACATGTCTGCTTTCAAACACAGGTTCACTCATTCACTTTGCATTGGTCGCTCAGTATCGGGGCACTCACTTTGTACTTTCATGTGCACTTTTAGGCCTGAAATACTCATAAAAACAGCGAAATTCAGTAAGGACTTTAATCTTTTTTGCTGTTATCAGAAGAGTCGTGGGGAGGGAAGGGTCACCTATATTTGTCCACCTGGTGTAATTTAAGCATCTTACGTTTGCTCACAATTCAAGCTTTTTAAAATACTGATTTATAGATGCGTATGAACTTTTATGACTTGAAAAAACAGACTTTGCTATCCTCGAATCCAGTCCTGCAAGTGACCTGTGTCCCATAGAGCTACACAAATACACAACTCCCATCTCTGTCCTTTGAGGCATACACACACCAACACACACACACGCGAAAACACCCCCACACACACAAACACACGCACACAAACACTGCGCAGCTCCCTCCCCACTCACTGCTACACACACAGCCCTCCCCTCCCCACCCTTCACTAAGCGCTAACACACTTCCCTGTAACTACACACACACGCACACACACACACATGTCCTTCACAGCCTCTCCATCTTCTCTCTCTTTGCGCACAGACTTCACACACGAGCCAATGAAGACAGACAGGATGTGAATATATATGTTTAGTTATAGTTTCAGATCATTTCGCTTGACAGGACTTGTGTGTGTATGTGTATGTGTGTGTGTGTTGTCGGTTCTCTGGGGATCACCTGCCATGTAAAACAACAGCACATAGTAATAATAAAGGCCCCGTGGATTTCACCTAAGAGTCACCGCAGTAGCTCACACCTCCATCTAGAGGTTCAAAGTGAAATACCATCTTACCAAAAGCAACACTTCGGGGGTCTTCTCTTGACCTGTTCAACATTTAAAGCTGGAGACAGATTATTTGAGAAACATATAAACCCAATGTGCTTCAGAACAGTTCCTCTTGCTCCGTGACTACCCATCTTTTCAACGTGCTGTGCACTACTACACACTTCTCTTTGTCACACACACAGCTCCCCCTCCCATCACTCACACACACACGGATGCACACACACACACAGACGCACACACACACACACACACGCAACATTACTCCCTCCATTGCTGTAAAAGTACACACACAGACACACACTTCCCCCTCCCATCACACACACACCCACACCACACACACACTCACACATATTCACACACCCACACCACACACCCACACACACGCTCACACACACTCACACACACCTATTCAGTGACACACACACACACTACTCCCTCCACTGCTATAAAACTACACACACGCTCATACACACACACACACAAACATTCACACACACACACACACACAGTCACACACACACACACACACAGTCACACACACCCTCACACACACACAGACACACACTACTCTCTTCACTCCTGTAAAAGCGCACACACACACGCGCGCGCTCATGCACGAGCACACGAACCCCGCCTTCTCCTCTTCTACACACACTTGCACAGTGTGTCTGTCTCTGTCACGCACACACACCGCCCCCTCCCCTCGCTCACACACACACACACACCGCCTCCTCTTCTCACACACACACAAACACACACACACACCTACACACACACACATACACACACACCACCCCTCCCCTCTCTCTCTCTCTCTCTCTCTCACACACACACACACACACACACACACACACACACACACACACACACACACACACACACACACACACACACACACACACACACACACACACACACACACACACACACACACACTGTTCCTTTCTCTCCCACGCCCCCCTCCCATGTTCTCTCACAACTGCACACACTGCATAAGCGAGACTCACACAGTGTATCCTGGTAAATGTGTCCGGGCTTTAACTGTGTTTTTGTCAGAACAGGTCCTTCCGAACCTTCAGCATCACATGAACGGAAAATAAACATAACATAAACATGTGTTGACGCACTTGTTTCATTTTCCCTGCTTTACCCATTCAAAGTGTAGGTTATAATCACAGACTGTATGGATATAACACATTCATCAACGTCAGTGTGTCAGGGTGCGCACGCGGACAGGAGGCTGTGGCACGCGCGTATACTCCGCTGCTGTGAGAAGGATCAGCCCATAGATACTGGATCAGCCCGGAGATACGGGATCAGCCAAAGTGTGAACTCGGTAAAGAGTAAAGAGACTCTGTTTGAACAGGGCCATCTATTGTTTCTGTCAGTGTTTGCTAAAAGTTATCTCAGGCCAATGTTTACAACTTTAACGGACTAACGTGGAAAGGGCACACACCCACCAAGACTTGGCGTCACTGACAGTGTTCGTCCTCGAGACATACTGATGCAAAACTTTAAAAGAAACTCTTACCCTTGTAACGACAGAGCAGTTTTCCCACCGTCTGCTTCACTCTGCGCCCGGCGCTCACCGAGAGGACGCACAGTCTCCGCCATCTTCACCGATCTACCGCACCGTTCTGCTCCGCGCAGCGCACACACTCCTCCCGCTGCACTGCTCCTCTACACTCCTCCTTTAGCCGCTCATCTGGCTCAAACCTCGGCCATCCCAGACCGCACCACTGCGCAACAGAGAGGGGGGAGCGCAACTGAGGGCACAACCTGCAGTGAGCCCAGACGCTTTTCCGTCAGGTCTAACCCGTGAACCACAGCCCTCTGAACTTTAGGATGTGTCGAGTGTAAAAGCAGCGCAGAAGCTCTTTTTACATTTAACACACAATGAAGCCCGCTTTCTTCAAATCACCCATTATCACGGAAATGGACGCGCTCACCCATAGCAGTGGGAAAAAATAAACTGTCTCGTGCGAAGTAGCCTAATTGAGTGTAATAGTTGGCTAGATTATGTTGTTTTGTTAAAGGTTTACACCTGTTTCCCTCTATAGAATAGCCGATCATTGTCTAACACAATATCTTGGGACAAGGTCAGCAAATGAGCTCTACTAGATGCCCTTTTGGGCATGGCACTTTAAACTGCAATGTTTTTCTGTTCCCTATTTTGGCCTTTATATTGTATGATAAATGTAGGCTATAATCTTCTAATCTTCTATGGCTCTCATTCTGAATGAACCATAACCTGTTTCTCAAGTTATTTGGTTTTTGGCATTCAGTCAATTTGTGTGTGTTTAATCACCATTTTGGTTCTTTTAAATCAGTGGATCAATGACTGACAGCAGAGCACATGTAATGCCAATTTCAAGTGCTGACCTCATAGTTTATTTTTGTAATAACGTAATAGTTACACACAACAGACAGAGAGTGTTTAGTGGAAAAGGTAAAGCCTTTGTGGCTATAGCAACAACCAGGGTATAGGATAGGAAATAATGATAAGTTAATCATAGGTCCATATTCTTCTGCAGTCCTAAATGGTCGGCTCTAATGTACAGAAATCTCTGGTAGTTTAGAAGTTTAGAACTGAATAAAATTCCTCTCTCTTTCCAAAAGAGCTGTGTTTGGGAGCATCTCTTTGAGCAGACTTTACAATAGAAACTCTTCTGTTTTTTGAGTGCATAGGCTTCAGTTCCAGCTTCTATTCCAGCTCCAGTATTGAGCCTGGAATCTGTGTATGATTTTATTCTCAAACAGAACACGAACTCATGAGCTCGTATTGAGACACACACCTACAAAACACAGCCCTCACAGACGCACACTCTCCCTCTGCACACACACGGAAACACACACGGATACACACACGGACACACACACACGAACACACACACAGACACACACATGCACATACATACACACACACACCCACACACACACACAGTGCGTTCATTTCCCCTTCATTCAGAAGCGCACATATTGTACTGCAGTAACACACTCCCTTCCCCCTAGATCCCCGACAGACTCACACACGTGCACGCACAGGCACACACACACATGCACACGAGGACAAACACACACATGCACGCACACACATGCACACACAAACACACACATGCACACGAGGACAAACACACACATGCACAGGAGGACAAACACACACATGCACGCACACACAGACACACACAAACACACACAGGCATACACAGACACACACAAACACACACAAACACACACACACATTCCCTCCTACACAGCACACACACTCTCACACACACTTCACCACCCCTCCCCACTCTCTCCGTGTCTTTCTATCTTTGCAAGGACACTACATCGACATTATTGCTCAGTTGACTAAAACCAGTTCAAATGTTGTTTACCTCAACTGTGAACACATGTTAATAGTGAAGTTGTAAAAGGTAGCGTCAGAGAGTGGATAACCCGTTAGACACCATTTGTGAGGAAAAATGCTGTAATTATTTTATGGTATTTAATAGCAGTGACAGTAACACACACACACACACAAACTCCACTCCCTCCTGTCTCTCTCTCTCTTTCTCCTGTCTCACTGTTGTTCTGAATCTCACACATTCATACACTCAAGCCCATTTCCCCTCCTCTTTTTAGTGTCTCTTTCTCTCTCTCTCATTCTCTCTCTCTCTTTCTCTCTCCTCTCTATTCCTCTCCTCTGTCTATAGTAGTTCTCTTTTTTCTGTCATACTCACACACATTGTGCACATTCAGACTACACATTCATTTGCCTCTGCCTCTCTCTCACAGTCACACACACACACGCACACACACACACACGCACACACACACACTCAAGCCCATTTTCCCCTCCTTTTTCTAGTCTGTCTGTCTGTCTCTCTCCCACACACACACACACACACACACACACACAGACGCACGCACACACAGACACACACACACACACACACACACACACACACACACACACACACACACACACACACACACACACACACACACACACACACACACACACATGCATCCTGCCACTCCTCCCTAACAACCGGGCACAGATAGGCTGCACAGAGTGTCTCTGTATAAATACGCACTAAATAAGAGTTTGGCTGTGTAGTGGCGTTTGGCTACAGTCTAATTGCATATTTATTAAACCAATACAAATCTTGAACTAGAAAAAAGAGAATTTCGAATATGAAGAAAAAAAATCTAAGTTTACTTACTTTTAAAATATATATCATAATAGCTTATTTTCTATAATATTTTCCCATATTGCTGTTGCATATGAAACGTTTTGTGTCGCTCCAACAGCCTGTAATGTAGCTGAGTGAGGTTTATGTAGTTCACTATATTTACCAGCAGAGGTCAGTAAAGAGGCGTGGACTACACCGTCTGTGTTTGGAAATGTGGCGTTTTGTTGCCAGACGGGGGCAGTAGCGAGAGTGAGTCTATCGGAAAGCGTAGAAGGAGACGCTGCAGCAGGAATCAGGAACATAATAGTTTCTTAGATCGGCCGGTCATTTACGTTTCTTACTGATAACATATCTTCCAAGATGTCTAAACGACATCGTCTTGATTTGGGAGATGATTATTTTTCCAGCAAGAAGCGATCTGATGGGTAAGTCTCTTCTCTTTAGTGAAATTGTCTGCGTTGACACGCGCAGCTAATGTTAGCAGGCTGTTAGCTTGGTGCTGGTTTCTTTGGCTAATGGCCACCTCAGACAAACTACAGCTGTAAAATGGTTTTTTGACACACACACGAGTAACATGTTCAAATACGAGTCATAGGCATTGTCCTCTGTGGTTTATGTAACATTATGAGTCAAACCGCGTCCATTAAACAGAGAGGTTAAAGAGTGTGTCCAGAGGCGGCATTAGCAGCTTGTAGCTTGAGCGCGGTGAGGCACGTGTAGCCGCCGCTAGCTGCACGGAGCAGTGATAAACACAGGCGCATCATGAGACCCGCGCAGATACACGCAAAAAGGACCGCCTGACTTTTATTTTATTTTTTATTTTGATTACGTTATTCATTGCAGCACCTTCTTAACGTAAAGGTTAACTGTGGATCCTTTATTGCCTAGAATGAATACGGTGTGAGTGTTGGTGGTGGTCGTAGGGGCCGATGGCGCATATTGACAGGCAGCTCTGGCTACTGTGGCCACAACCGAGTGTGGAATGAATAATGCACGAAATTGTGAACGAATCTCAGGTTCTGGGGGAAAAAACAAAACAAAACGCTATATAAATAGGGTGACCAGACGTCCCTGTTTACACGGGACAGTCCCAGTTTTGAGCTGTGTCCCTTGTCCCAGCAGATTTATCCAAAACCAGCGATTTGTCCCAGTTTTATACAAGAAATGTCCCAGGTGTCCCTATTTTTGACTAATCTAATCTCTCCCAACAGGAAAGAGAGGCATAAATTGTATTGTATTATTATTTGTCAAGGTAAAATACAGAAAAGCTACCTAAAAATGACCAAAACACAAAGAAAATGTGACTGTACTGACTCAAATTAGTGCCGAGTGCAGAACAATTTTCCTTAATTATGCGCTCGTTTCACAGTTTTATTATTACCAACCACCATAAACCAGGGATGTCTCAGTTTTTTCTTCTGAAAATCTGGTCACCCTATATATAAAAAAACAAATAGTACTATTACTTTAAAAGGCCGGTTGAGTGTTTTTAAGTTTAAAATGACTGAAATACAGAAATGTCACGTTGCAACCTTATTTGTAATTTACGGTAACATATTATTAATTAGCTCTTTTTTTAATAATCAAACGGCTCTATTGTTTCTATGTTAAGTTTTAAGATATTCTCAATATATCGCTAATCTTCTCACCTCTAAGTGCTATAATTCTGTGTTTTCTCATGTTTACAGGAGAGACCGGGACCGCGATCGAGACCGTGAAGATCGCTCCAGAGACCGGGACCGCGACAGAGACCGAGACCGGGAGCGTGATCGAGAGCGAGACTCGAAGCCCCCCAGTGCCCCCTCCATCAGCACCAGCCCCAGTCTGCCTGGCCTCAAGCAGATGGCCGTGCAGCAGCAGATAAACCCTTTCACAAACCTGCCTCACACGCCCCGCTACTACGAGATCCTGAAGAAGAGGCTACAGCTGCCCGTATGGGAATATAAGGAAAACTTCAATGACATCATCACGCGTCAGCAGAGTTTTGTTCTTGTGGGAGAAACAGGATCTGGAAAAACAACACAGGTTACCATTTTAATAAATTTTTATGTACTGGGGGGTGTAAATAACAATATTTATTTTGGCTGCCGTCCAACTGTATTAAAGGTGCATTGTTTAATTTTTCAGTTTGGGGGTCTACTTCCATGGACATACTAATGTGCCGCAATATGGGGTTAAACTTTTAACAGATACATTTATTCAATTACGGGTGTTTTTTATTGCTAAAAGGTGGCTCTGGTGGCGTCTCCTACTTGTTTCTATGAATATTGAAAAGTTTAGTACCATACTTTGGAATGTTGGAGATTAAGTAATAACAGCAGCAGAAAAGTTACACAGTGCACCTTTAAATAATTGACCTATAGAATGCTGTGAAGTCATCTGAAACCCACCAATAAAAGTCTTTTGCTTGTTCTGTGTGTATGTGCAGATTCCTCAGTGGTGTGTGGACATGGTGAGGGGCCAGCCGGGTCCTAAGAGAGCTGTGGCCTGTAC